ATTTAATGTTGCAATAGAAAATGTTGAAGATAAGATAAACAAATATGATGAGAAGTAAGAGCCTAAAAAGAAGGTAAGGTAAGAAGATTTACAGATTTTGAAAAAAAAAAATTGAAAACATAAAAAAAAGCAAAAAAATAACATTGAAAATGATGGATGGATGAGAGGGGAGTTCAAAGAAACTCTCAGCTCCAGAGAGAAATGGGTTAAAATAAGAATTCAAAAAGGCAGTGTTTCAACCTGATACTAAACATCTTTACACTGTGTTATATATTAAACTTACAGTAAACTATGTTATAATAATGAATTTTAATTTCAATGGTGCTTTTAAAGAAACAAAACTCTAAACTTTTTACAGGAAATTAATAACTCATAGCTAAAAAAAAACAATAAAATAATAACGAAAAAAAAGTAAGTAGGGCATAAAATAAGGTGAAATTAAAAGTTTAAAAACCGAAAAAACTTGTAAAATGGAGGAATTAACCTAAAAGTAAATTACAAAAAAAACAACAACATTAATTAGAGAAAAGTAAGGTTGATGAGAAAAGAAAATATAAGAAAATTAGATGAGAAAAGTATGTGACGAGAGGGAAAGGTGACTTAAAGTGACTGAAGGATGAAGTGGGGTGACTGACGAGACAACATTTCCTTCCTGAAAAAGGCTTCTTCTTTTATATGGTAAAGATGAACAACTTTATTTTATAATTTTTTTTTATTATTACTATTATTATTAATTTGAAAAATTTAAACTCTTCCTTAAACTAACCATTGTTTTTTTTACTCCCTGCCCTTTAAACATGGACTCCCTGAATGGAGCCGCTCCTTGTGGAATTCAGACCTGGAGGAGTGTTCTCTCCGGTGCTAAGTTATTTTTTAATTATTGAATTATTTGTTTTTCTTTGAGAAGTAGCTGAACTTTTGGGACTGAGGTGGGGGAGCTCCAGGACTGAAACCGCCTGTTGGCAGCAGTCAGTAAAGGGTAAAGTGATCAACCATATATTTTATTTTATTTTCCATTTCTATAGAGTTCCAACTATGCAAGAAAAGCTTGATAACTTTCTCATATTAGATTCTTTTCTGCATCTTCCAACGAAGAAAATGCTTTCTGACAGACTGACTTTCTTGACATGACTTTATCTATGGGAAATGTCTAATGAGGGTGATGATGTACAGCCTGGTTGGCTTTCACTAAACCATGATTGTTTTAGAGTCAGTAT